AAGTCCTGGAGGTCCCAAGCCCCAAGCACCTCCTTGGGCACTGCTGGAAAGGAGATGCTTTTCCCTCAGCAGTAAGTGAGGAGGGTGAGGATCCCATCCTGCCCATGCTGGGTGTGAGGGTCACCCACAGAAGTCGGTTTAGCTCAGCATTGTCAGACAATCCCAAGATAAAAAAAACCCTGGGTTTAACTCCATACAGTAAGAGAAGAGCCTCTACAGGGAGATCAGTATGTGACTGGCACAACTTTTAGGATTTCTGGGACAGAAATAGTGGAAACAGTGGCTGATGCTGTGGGCTGACTCCAGTGGGATGAAATGGCACCAGCTCTGCTAAGTGTAAGGAGAAAATTAACAAAGTGTGGAGGATTATGGAACAGAAGTGCCTCTCTGCTACCTCTGGGAAGAGGCAGAGATGATAAATATGTGAACCCACTTTGCTTCTATATGGTTTGAAGCTAGAAATTTCCTTCCAAACTATTTCTTGCAGGGGAAAGTGTGTGCCAGAGAGGTCTATGTTGCAGATCAGAAGGCAGTGGGGTTAAAATTAGCTTTCTGGAGAATTTCTGCAATTTGGGGGAGTTTAGATTGGATGCAGCTAGTGATGAAGGAAGGGGAGCCTTTTCCTGGCCTTTGGCTGGGGGTGTTGCAGCCAGTCCTGACAGAAGGGAATCTACATCCACGGGCTTTTTCTGTCACCCTGGTGCCAAAGATAAATGCTGATAGAGTGCAAAGTGCTGTAAGCCTCGGAGGATCTAAGATGAAATGTTTCTTCCCTGGATCCTCAGCTCGGTCTCACCCTCTGGACCCCCTCGGGGCCCCACACCAAGGTCAGCCCAGGGTTCAGGCTCCTTTGGGGTGCTGGGGCTGGAGGGCAGCCTTGGGAAAGGGACAAGGGAAAGGACAGGTCAAAGTTTGGCAGCTCCTGCACCCCACGGTGCCTTTTCCTTTGGCTTCTGACGCTTCCATCTCCACTCCAGCAAACACACCTGGATCTTCTGGAGAGGAAAGAAATACCAGAGACATGGAAGAGCCAGTGCTGGCACTGCTGGGAGGTGGGACAGACACAGCCGGGGGGTATTACGCTCTCTCTCACGGTATTACCCCGCAGTGGCCAGGGGTAACTGGATCTGCGAGAGTCTGATCCTCCCAAGCCCTTAATTGGATGCGGGAAACGTCCAAAATGCGGCTCACTCTCCTGCCTCCCACAGCTGTGGCACACACACACACACACACACACACGTTCTTCTTGTCACACAGGGGTGTTTCCCCCTGAACCCAGCCCCCTCCTACATCTCCCAGCTCCTGGCCAGCAAGCCAGAGCTGACCCTTTGTACAGGAGCTCTCCCAGACAAGAGAAGTGCTGCTGCTGGTGGTGTGATATTCAGTAGGTTTCCAGACACCCCCTTTTTGTGTTCTGCAAAGAAAACCCCTTGGTTAGACAAGGGGCAAAAGGCAGTGGCAGAACAAATAGGGAACAGTCCCTTTTGTGGGATGGGGCTGTGGGGTGGGAATGGGATGAACACCCTGCAAGGCTTGTGCAGATTTGGGTGTGAGGATGGGCGTGCAGGGAGCACCCGCATGGGCCAGGCAGCTGCTGGGGCAGTACCCCCGGCCTGGAGGAGCTGGTGTGGCTCTTCCAAGGCTCTTGCATCCCCCAGCCCTCCCTCCACCTCAGTTTCCCCTGCAAGCAGTCCTCCTCTGCAGTGTGGGACTGGGACAATACTCCCTGGATAAGTGGGCCTTCTATCCCCCAGCTGCACCAGAGCCAGGCTCTCTCCCCAACCTGCAAGCCTTTTGCTTTTTCTTTTTTTCTTTTTTTTTTTTTTTCCTTCTTTTTTTCCTCTTACAAAATCAATTTACAGACAGCTCACTCATTTTCCCCCCTTGCAAACTTATTAGGTATTCAGTCCCGGCTAGCACTCGTAAGCATCCTTTGTCCCAGGGAGGGCTGGAGACCCCTTCATTAGCAGTGATTACCTCTGAGCAGTTTGACAGCCTCCCAGCCCGCTTACAAGACTTTCCCATTCAGCCCTGCCCGGGGCTGCCCCGCTTCTCAAAAGAAACGGAAACATTCAAACATTTCTCCCCCCTTCCCAGCTGAAGAGAGGAAAAGCTGTTTCTCTTTTCCGCCTTCCCCATTCACTTCACTTTTGATACAATATTTTCCTTCTTTGTTAAACGGGAGAGAGAGGGGTCAAGGCAGACTTTTTAGTGACCCTTTTCGGAGCGCTTTGTTTAATGTAAATACAAGCTCCTTCACTCTTACCCGTTTATAATTATTATTATTTTTAAAACCACCAGAGGCTCGGGAGGGCAACGGCTTGGGCTGATATTTAGGGGAGAAAAATTCTGAAAAACATGAGGGAAGGACATTTACTTTCAGTAAGGGAAGGGAAAGGGCAGCTGGAAAAAAAAAAAAAAAAAAGAAAACAACAACAAACAGGGGTATGGGGTGGGGAAACGGAGATTTTTTATTTGGTCGCACTGAAGGCGCGGCCGCAGCCGCACGGCCCCGGCCCCGCAGAGCTGCGGCGGGGAAGGAGCGGAGCTGGGAGACGCTCGCTTCTCCCGTTCTCCCACAACAAGCAAGGCCGGGCAGCGGGGCTGCTCTTCCCGCGGGAGCTCCGAGCTCCTTTCCCGGCCCCGGCCACTCTTTCCGAAGGGGGTGATTTGTTTTCTTGTCGCCAGCACCCGCGGGAGGGTCCCTCCACTGCCCACTCGGGAGATCCTGCATCCTTCACGGCACTCAAACCCTCTGTCGGAAGAGACAATATCATCCCCGCTGCCTATTGAACAAATTCCAGGTGTTTTTTCGTTGGAAAGAAATCCCGCGTTACCAGACGCTGAGCGCATGTGCTTTCTGCTCTCTTTATATCTTTAATTCCCCACAATAAGCGCTGCTACTCTGCCCGCGGAAGCCGCTAGAGAAATTGAATCTAATTCGCCGATTTCCCGGGAAAGAAAATAAATAAATACAGAACACGATGTATTTCAGCAGATTCCGTTTTGAGGGTGAACACCGCTTTTGCTCCCAAAACAACCTCGTGGGTGGGAAGCGCTGCCCATCAGCGAACCCCAAACCCAAGGTGAAACCCCAACCTCTTTGATGCTTAAACAGCACAGCCGGGCTCTTCTTGCGCGGCTTAAATCCGGTGGGGTTCAGCAGGCAACAAACCTCAGGGTTTGGGGTGCAAAATGCTCTCCGGACCCTCCCGTAGGTGGGTACCCCAAAGGCAGGTGGAGACCTCTACTCTGCCCCTGCTTCCCGCCCTGCGATCCAACCCTTCCACACTCCTAAAATGTAGATTATTTGCCTGTTACACTCCTCCATGGAAAGAGCTGCCTGTAAACTGACAAGAAAAAACAGTTTAAAAAATCCTGCTACCCGCCCCATCCCTGGAACAGTCTGCAGGGAAAACCAGGCACATGCATTTGGGGACGGAACGCAGATTTAGGCATGGGGGAGAAAACGCCTTGAATCCAGGTTTTAAATTCAAACTTAGACAGAGGGGCAAAAGTCACTGCCTAGACGGGAATATACCTCCCGATAAAAGGTAGCATGACTGAATTAAACTATCACGGAGCCGAAATGCCCCTGCTCCTTGCAGGCAGCCGGAGCCGAGCGGGAGCCGGGGCATCTCCCGCTGCCAGCTCTGCCCGGCTTCCCCCAGTGCCAGGCTTCGGCTGCTAAATAAAACGAGCCAAGCAATCAGCTTACCGGGGAGGCATCTCTCTGAGGACAGGGGAGTAAACGCGATGAGACCGAGAAGACAAAAAAAGCACAGCTCAGGCGATTTAAAGATCAATGTCAAATTGTATAATATAAAATCCTTCTGCTGGGGAAAAAAGCTTAGCGCGCTCCTTGGACCTGGTGTTTGGTCTCCTCCAGCAAAACCACCGCAAAACAAAGCGAGGGAGGCGGATGGTGGGGACAGCCGCAGGCACATCGCAAAGGTCGTGATTTGGGGTAATTTAGCCCCCGTTATGGCCTTTCACTGGCATGGAGAACAGTTAATTCCCCATCTTCTCCTCGCCTTTGCCAGGTGAGGGAGGAAGCTTAGTTTCCTCGGCGACACTGTGCCCCAACCATTGCTCTCAATAATTTTTTTTTTCTTTCTCTTCCCCTCGTTCCTCTCAGAAAATTCGCCTCCGATAATCTCCAGAGCTTCAGCCCTTGGGAGAGAAGAAGCTGAGGCGATGCCACCTCCTTCCCATCCCCAGCCAGCCCCGTTCCTGCTCCTCTGGCCTCATCCCGGCTCCTCCCAGCTCCCTGCCTGGCAAAGACATCACCCCCGGTCCCGGGGACCGGCTCCTTCGGTTCCTGCCGAGCTGCGGCTGAAATACCCGTGGCCTCGGAGATCTGCTCTGCGTAAACTGGCGGGCTCGAAACCGACACCGTCATTTCAAAGCAGATGCGAGGGTCGTTCACCAAATATTTTATTATAGTTTTAGGCTGCTTCATACAGTTTCGTCCTGCACATGCTCTACAAGTCACCTGTGCACATAGAGAACAAGCCAAAAATAATAATAATTAATAATAATAATAGAAAAAAATCTACCATAGCAATCCCTTAAATAAGTAAATAAACATTATATATATATATATATAAAACCCCTTTAAAGTAAAGCAAAATCCAACCAAAAGAACAGCGTCTTTTCAACATGAAACAACCCCGCGGGATAAGGGCAGGGGCTCAGACATTTTGCAACTTGGCATTCGGTTTCTTGATGATTTTTTTCTCTCTCTTTTTACTTTTTCTGGGCTTTCTTTAATGATTTCTTTTTAGGCATCAATTCCGCAAATCCTTCGAAATAAAGGCGACAACGATTTCAACGACGTTTTTGAATGCAGTCTGCTGCGGGGCTGGGAGGGAGGCGCGGGCGGGCGGGGAGCGCCCCGTACCCCGCGTTCGGGCAGCGCCAGCCCCGCTGCTCCGGCCGTGTCGGAGGCACCGGTGAGCCGGGCCTGCCGCTCGCCCCGCTTTGCCGTGGCGGTGGTGTCAGATGTCACATTCACTGTCGCTGGATGTGATGGAGATGGCGGAGGTGGCCGCTTTGCTGGAGAGGCTGGCTGCGGGGCTGGAGGCGGCCCCCACCGCCTCCCCGCCGCTCTCCTCCTCCGCTTGCAGCGAGCGCACCGAGCCCTGCGTTAGGACCTGCTGCTGTAGCCTGCAAGGAACCGGCACACACAGCATCACCGCCAGCCCTCCGCACCCGCCGGCAGCCCCGGTGTCCCCCCAGGGGCTCCCCCGACCTGCCCCCGACCTCCGGCTCTCACCACTCACACCAGCGATACCAGAGAGGAGAAGCTGGGTGGGCACCCGGTTCCTCAGCTCTGTCTGAGAAACCGGGAGCCCACCCCAAGGTCAGCCCTGCTCCTCGGCTGGCACACCCAGGGGAAAGTTGTCCCACTCCTCCTCAGCCTGCCCCCAAACCGGGCCTCATCTCAGGGGCAGTAATGCCCTGCAGCAGCTCCCGGGCAGTGTTTCCCGTCCAGTAGGCCTTACTTACTCCTTTAGCCGATAAAAAAGGGCTCCGGGTGACAGTACCCACGTCTCTGACATGAGACAGCCCGGCTGAGGGGTGACAAGGGGAGTTTTCCCCATCCCGGGATCCTGGGGAGGAGATAAAGGGGGAACTCTGCTCCCTTCCCTGCCAGCCAGGGCATCTGCTTGTGTCACTAGTGTTGGGATAACACTGCTCATTTAGAGCCGTGATTTTGTTCCAGAACATATATTTTTAAAAATTATATATATATACACACACATATATTCACGTTGTATTTCTATTATATATTTATATATATATAATAGAAACAAGAACATGATCCCAAGGAATGCTCCCATATGGCTCTGGCAGAGGAGCAGGGCACGGCGACTGTGGCAGGGCTCACAGAGGGCATGGCTGGCTCTTCTCAGGATGGACATATTTCAAACCAGTATTTATATGTCCGGGCAAAACTTTCAAGGGGGTTTGTCTCCGCTCAGCCCCTGAACATTGCCCTTCTGCCGCCAGCTCCAGCCAGTGGCTCCAGGCAGACATTGTCCTGCTCCCCCTGTCCCGCTTCCCCCCAGGGCAGCCAAGAGGGAGCCCAGGGCGGGGATCCTCCCCTATTAAATCGAAGTAATTAAAAAGCCTTAGTGTTTTCCCGCTGCTCCTGCTTTATCTGGCTGCATTTCCCGGGGAGAAATCTCCCGGGATGGTTTCTCCCATCCTCTGCCGCCAGTCTCGCACCGCCTCCCCGCAGCCTCCGGCCCCGGCGGGCGGGGACGAAGCCTCGCTAAGGGGGAACCTGTGTCCGGCCGGGACGGGCAGCACTTACCTGTTCTTAGCGGCTGCTGCCCTGTCCCTTTGCCTGCGGTTTTTGAACCAGTTGCCCACTTGCGTGGGGGTAAGTCCCGTGGCCTGAGCCAGTTCTCGCTTTTTGCTGGGGTTGGGGTAAGGGTCCTGCAGGTACCACTCCCGCAGCAAATGCCTCGTCCGCTCCTTGAAGCAATGTGTCTTCTGCTCGCCGTCCCAGATGGTGCGCGGCAGCGGGAACTTCTTCCTCACCCGGTACTTGTCCACCGGCCCCAGGGGTCGGCCCCGCAGCTTCTCCGCCTCCTGGTAGTGCGCTTCCAGCCAGAGGGCTTGCAGTTTGGCGTGGGACTCCTTGGTGAACTTGTGGTTCTCCAGGATGTGGTAGAGCTCCCGGTAGTTCCCCGTGTGGAAGGCCACGATGGCCCGGGCTCTCAGCACCGACTCGTTCTTGTTGAGCGCCTCGCAGGCCGCGGGGGCCACGGGCAGGGACCAGAGGAAGCGCCCCAGGCGCTCGATGTCCCCGCTCTCCTCCAGGGTCTCGCATACCCCGGCCACCTGCTGCGGGCTGAAATTGAGGATGGGCAGCTGGAACATGGAGGCGGCGCCGGGCTCCGCTCCGCGCTCCGCGCACCCCCGGCGATGCCCGCCGCCGCCGCGCACAGCCCCGCGGCGGGGAAGGGGCAGCGGCCCCGGGCCGCCCCTCGTTCCGCTGCTGCCTCCGCCGCTGCCGGCGGAGCTGCCGCGGGAGGGACGGCGGAGGGCGGAGAGGCGATGGGGACCGCTCGGCAGCTCCGGCGACTGGGGGCGGTGGGCAAGGGCGAGGCGGAGGAGGATGGAGCGGGGAGGGAGGGCGGGCTGGGGAGGGAGGGGGGGAAACAAAAAAAAAAAAAAAAAAAGAGGAAAAAAGAAGAAGAAAAAAAGGAAACGAGAAAAGGCACGAGCGCAGCTCCCCGCCGCCGCCGCGCTGCTGCGGGAGCGGCTGATTTGCTGCGGGCTCGGCAGATTGGCTCCCGGGTTTCCATGGCGGGGCTGCCACTCACTGTCAGCCGCTGCCAATCACGGCGGAAGGCCCCGCACCGCCCCGCTCCCCGCCCCGCTCCCCGCCCCGCTCCCCGCGGCGCCGCGGCCGCTCCCCGGGGACCGCGACCCCGCCGCCCTGCCCCGCCGACCCGGGCAGGGCAGAGCCGCCCTGGGGAAAGCAGGCTGGGGGGAGGAAGGGAGCTCCCGTTTCAGGGTGCTGGCAGCAGGTTGGAGGGAGTGGTCCCAGCGATAGGACGGCCGGGAGCCCCGCATCCTCCGCGGTAAAGCTGCGGGGGCCGGCCCGGTGGTGCTCGCACAGAGCTCCGCGCACCCGCGGGCGGAGAGGGGGATAAGGCAGAGCTGAGAAATCAGATAAAAAAATTGGCTGAGTAACAGTGACAGTGATGCTGGGGGTGTCACTGACAATGGAGGCAGCGGGAGGACCTCAGGAACAGCCGAGATTTAGGGAAAAACTCTCCCCTTTCTCCCTGTAGGTGACTTCCTATGTCGGTTAAGACAAGGAATTATCTGCAAAGAGCCCAGCGTCCAACAAAAAGCGCTATTTTTAATTTTTTTTTTTTTAACATTTAAACCCTTATTGTTTTCGGCTGAATGGTCCTGAATAGAAGCCGAGAATAGTCGCGAGGAGTGAGAAGTCATTTGTAGGTCAGGAAAACGACTTAAAGCAGATTTCGGGAATCTTTTGAAATATTGATCACCTTGTAGTAATCATTCCCCGTGGGTTTTTTTCCCCCCTCGGTGGCCCGAGAGATCGACCTGGGTGCGAGGTGAGCCCCGGCCGCCCCTTTGGAGCAGCGGGGCCAATTCCAGACATCTCGGGGTGGGATGAAATATCTTTCTGAGCTGCGAGGATATGATTTATTTTCCGTAGAGAACAGGCGGATGATAAAGAAGCCACTCTTTATTCTACAAATAGCTGCTCAGTGGTAATTTCTTCCCGGGAATTAGGGACTATGCTCGGACAGGCAGCATATATTTTGAATTAAACTCAATATGTTCTCCCCTCTGCTCTTTGCAATGTATTTTTTTCTAGAATGCTTGTAAAAAAAAATTCCTTCTTAATTTGATATTTGTTATTGTCTCTTCCTCCCCCCCTTATTATTTTTTCCTATTGTTTTTGTCTTCCTTTCTTCTCTTCTTTAAGAAAGCTGCCTTGCTAGTTGCCTGTAGACCGAAATTAAACAGATTTACATTTTCTCCAATCATTTCTCTGTAGAAATGGAGCTGGACTGAGGCTCGCCGTCTTTTCTTTAGTATCAAGTACAATTTGTCTTTTGCTTGTGAAGATTTGGTAAATCAGAAGGCAGATAGATAGCGCAGATGGTCGGAGGTGTCGGGTCAGATTATGGTACGCCTCAGTACAGTGCTAAGCTCATTCTGACGGAAAACCCTGATATTATTTTCACAGATCTACACAGTTCACTTGAAAAAAACCCTTCGAGCCATTTACATCATTTATGTGAGGCTCACAGCTAGCGGGATGGAAAAGCTTTCAATACTGCTCATTTTCATAAAACCCGACAGAGCTGGGGAGACATAAAAGCACACACAAAACTCACGAGTTCAGAGACACTCCAGAGAAACTTAAAAAAAATAAAAGGAGTGACTTTTCTGCTTCACCTTCATCCAGGTTTGATTTGCCGATCTGCTTAGGGAAAAAAAAAAAAAAAAGAAAACCAAGGCGGGGAGAAAAAATTAAAGAGGAGAATATAATCTATAAATATTGCCGAGAGTCCTCTTCCAGCCTTCTATCCCACCACTGTCCTCTCCCTTAGGAAAAAACAATATTTTGACCAAGTCAACGAAAGATCCCAAATAACCTTTCGGGGCAGGATTTTAAAAAGCCTCCAGACCTCCTCGGTATGAGCATCGGGCTTCCCCAGCGAGCGGGTGAGAGGGCGGCGACCTCGGCGGCTCCAGGCACGGCCCCGCGGGCAGGAGCTGCCCCGCCGCCCCCCGGCGCACCCCGCCGAGCCCCCGGCAGCGTCCCGGGACGGGGCTGATGGAGAAAAAACCTCTGCCGGGAGAAACGTGGAAGGATAGAAAACCTGCCTTAATGGGTAGCTAATTTAGAACGGCCAGATGATGATGGTGGTGATGGAGATGATTACTAATATTATTGAAAGGGTCCTTTTTTAAAATTTTTGTTATTTTTTAAAATCATGCGCATGATCTGGCGAGGGAGTTACTGGGCAGCAGCCTAATGACCATGAGCAGAGCGAGACGGGCTCCGTAATGAAAGCCAGGACTGTAGGCTAAAGAAATGAATCCTCATTAAGTGCGGCTCGCAGGGGCGAGGGGCTGTCCCCCAGGTCCCCAGCCTTTGTTCCCCAGGAACCGGCCCGGATGGGGCGATGCTGGCAGCACTGCTGGGAGGGGAGAGGAAGGGAAAGAAAAGCGACACCGAAATGGACCCAGGAACCTTGTGTTAACCATTTGAAGGGTCACACAAGGCGGAAAACCAGCCCAGCCCCAGTAGTTTTGCACCCTCTCCAGCTGGGAAGAATGGGTTCTGCTTTTGGGAAGTGGCACGGTCCGGTGTGACTGGATTGTCCCTGTTTGGGAAAGGTTCTTGGGGCTCCTTGCTTTGTGCCATCAGGGCCGAGAGAGATCAGCTTCAAGGGGGCCTCTCCATCCCTTTCCCACCTCTCGGGGAATTTTATCCACGGCTGGCACCGTTTCCACGCCGCTCCATAAGAGCTCTACCACCGGACCGGGCCGGGCCGGGCTTTACCTCCGGAGCGGGACCCACAGCGATGGCAGCGGCCCCAGGAGCGACCCCATCCCCGTGGGACGCGCTGCAGTGTCCGGAAAAGCCGAAATTCCTGCGGTGCCCAAGCTCCTGCCTCAGCCCCCGCGTCTTACCAGAGCTGCGGGCGAGCCTGGGGGTGCACTTGGCCGTGCTCTCTTCGTTGCGGCCCTTTCCTCCCATTTTCTTCTTTCCCCCTCCCTCCTCGCATATAATAGAAACACGACTTGTGACATTAATAGCCGGCAATTACAATTACTTTTATTTAAGTGACAGCTTTCACCCTTGCTACAGGTAGCGTGATGAGTTAACCCTGCAGAGACAAACCCACTGGAGAACAAGAAATAAAATTGTACGTGAAAAAAATATTTATCAAAAATACGACATTTGTAGTATCTCGGCGGCCTGCATGGACACGGGGGTTCTGGCCTCAGGATAGGACATATTCTCCTCTCCTCAGAACCTTAAAGCAAAAATACTCTAAGCAACATATTTATACACCTTTGCATCAGCATCTGTCAGCTATCCCGGGTCCTAGAATCTCAGTCATTGGAGATTTTTTATCTAGACGGAATTTCCAAACACAGTAGAGGTGCGAATATATTTTTAAAGCCCTTGATTGGCGTTAAGTAGTGTATTGAAAAATACCCTCGGGAAGGAGAAGCCTCTCTTTAAAGTCTCGGCAGGATTGTCAGAGATGTGGGAGTTCATTAAGGGATGCTGACCGGGAGAACCGGAGCGCAGGCGGTCCCTGGGGCGGATATTTGGGAAACCAGCCGGGATTTTCCGGCCTTGGATGGGTCTCGGCAGGAGCGGGGCTGGAGAGAGCAGGAGGCTCCCTGTCCTCCTCCCGCCTGGCTCTTACCCCGCTCCCTCGAGCAGACGGGGGATGCTCAGCCCGAGGCCGCTGCCCGCTGTCGCGGATAGAAAAGGTCACTGGAAATGTCAGCCCCCCTCGGGGAGCGGGGACGGGGTTTTCGGGAGCGTTTCCCACAGAGCCATCCCGGAGCTGTGATGGAGGACCTCAAACTCAGGATGCTGGAGTGGGGGATGCTTGCTGGGGAAACGAACTGCGTTTCCATGTGCTTCACGTGCTTGTCCTACTAGTTTTAAGGGTGCCATCATTGTTGAAATAACAGCTATCAATAGTTTCATTTCTTCCTAAAATTAAAGCTGCAATCTGCTTAATATTAGAGAGAGTGGGCAGATTGGATACACACCTAAGCTGCTGATACCTGTTGAAAGCACCAAAGAGTATCTAAAATGTTGTTGGACAGAGAGTGATGTTCACCCACTTTTTACTCTCACCCCATATATTCATTAAATCTTTGTTCTTTGGTGTATTATTAAGTTACTTGTCAAAAGAAGTATCAGGTCACAGCTGGTATATCTGAAGTTAAAATAAAGATGTACTGAAAACTCAAAATATCTAAATTATTTTCAGATTGGTAAGGAAAGACATTCCTTGTACAGCCCCCTAGTCAAGACCATGGTTGCAGACAGAAAGGATCTATCGCTCAAGATTGATCTTTAATTTTCTTTGGGATGTGTGAAAGATTTTTCGTGTCTGTGAACGTGGCTTTAAAGTTTCAGATCCTTTGGTGTTTGTTTGGCTGCTGCCTTCACCTGCAGGTAAATACAAATCTCTCTCAACATTGAGAAGTTCCTATACAACCTTCAATCTGCTTCCATCAGGATTGCACTGAAAATTTCAACAAAAGCAACAGAATAAAGAAGTATTCAAATAAATAGATTTTTTTGATTGATC